TATTTCGTCTTCATCTTTGCGTTCGGTTTTGTGTGCTCAGATCAGACAATCAGGTGGGTTACCTCTATGAACTTGCATGTCAGTAGCAGGTCCTTCATTGTTCCCTACAGCTTGCTCTACACACTTTGTTCTTTAGGCCAGGTGTCTTTTCGAAGTTGTATGTAGAGTGGGCAGGTCTGCGGAATGTGCTCAGGTGTTTGTGGTCTTGTTTGACAGGCACACTATGAGGACTGTACACTCTTTATTGTATGCATGTGGTAGTTGAGCCTGCAGTTTACTCTTCGTAGACAGGCTTGAGTTAGAAGTAGAACGGAGCACTTATGGCTTATTATCCTTGTGACATGATATTGGTCCGTTGTAAAAACCGAACCAATCCATAGACACTATAACTATAATCTGCTGTTGGTCAACCTCCAGTAGTTGTCTGAAAGTGAAGAATGATGCTTAGACTGCACTGAAATACCCTTTAGTCCAGCAATCTCAGGTTAGCCCTTACTAAAACAGGCACTTGAGAATGTCATGAGAAATACAGGGAGTTTTATTGCTCACATCACATACTGGGTGCCAACTGGTGGTGTGGAGAAATTATAGTAATAACACCATTTACCTGACAGTGACGTGAAAATGGTAGGTTACTTTTTATTTATGTTTTACCAATTTAACAAAGTACTGCAGTAAAATAATACCTCACTTTTTTACAGGGCATGCACTCGCCAGAGTCCACGGTCAACACAGAGACAAACATGACACCGTCGTTCGTGCATGCAAAAACGAATGCAACACCACTTTTGTCAACAACGCCCGGTATCACCAACTCAACTAAAAACTCCAAGGCTTCGCGAAATTCAGAGCAGTCTCTTGTAAACACCCCAGTTACAAGCGTTACGAGTAATGATACACACAGACAGAGTGAACAAAGTGATGATTTCCTAACTGAAAAACACGCCAGTAACACACATCATAAAGTTATGTATCCTAGCAGCTTTGTCCAGAACAAAGTCGATCGTGAAAAGCAATCAGACGATCATTGTGGTGAAGGTAGCAATGCAGAAGTATTACCTAACAACCTAAACGCCTGCTTATCAATTCCCAGCACCAAGACAGTAATAGAAGTTTGTAGTCATACAACCAAAACACGAGATAAAACAGTCTCAGCAAGTTCGCAGACGACACCCAAGTTTGTCAAAGATGTAGCGTGTAGCCCCATTAAAGAGCTGACTGATGACAACCTACAGACGGAACTACAGGCTGCAAACAGTACAAATATACATAATTCTAAAGTGTACTGTCTGAGGTCCCGAAACAAATCAGGGCAGCCAGATATTGTCAAGGATACCGACTGATTTATCAGTGTTAGCGTTATCTTTAAAAAAAAAAAAAAATTTTTAAGTATCCAGAAATCATGCTGTTAAGGCTTCGGCCTTGATTCCATGATAGGTACCGTAAATCTGGAAGAACTGTGGCATTTCTGTCGCCCCCCCCCCCCCCCCCCCCCCCCCCCCCAGGCGTGAACTCGGACCATAAGGAGTTCGTCACCCGGTCGCCTCGAAGTCAGGTTTAGCCAACTAGGCCGGGAATTGGCGTTATCACATTTAACCTGCATGTATTCACGCTTGGTCTCATTACCTTCTTCTATCCAATGTATGTCTGGGTCAGGATAATGCCGATCTATGATTCCGAAACTATAGAAATCTGGTCTTTAAAATTGGAAGAGGAGAGAAACGATTGCATCGCACCGGGTTTTATCCAGTAGTTAAAGGTTAAAGTCGAGAGCATCGACTTCATTGTACCGCGTTTTATCCCATATGGCTCGGCCTCTCTCCACAAAACAGTTAGCTGCCTGTCGAAAGTATCGCATAGAGCACAAACTCCATAGCTCTGGTGACGATCCCCAGGGATCTCCGTGAAAACTGCATTCGTGAACTGAACGACGCAGCCGTGAAACGAGCCCACGACCTTTATTGGTCTCTCTCCGCAGAACGACTAGGAGCCTCCCAAGATCGTCTCACAAATCACGAATTCCATAGCTCCAGCTATGAGACCCAGGAATTTCCGTAAAAACGTCACTGGTGTAGAAACTCACTATCTTCAGAGCACAAGACACACCGCTTATCACTTAGCCGGTGGGATCCCCTCTAAGGGTATGACCTGTATAGAAGTACTGATTCAAGCTGAAATGAACACGTCTTTTTGTCCCTGCAGCCTGTATCTACAACTTGTGTTTAGGGCCGTCTAGGACTGGGACCGAGTTCATGTTGAATTATTATCTAACTATAACTAAAACCATTATTCGTGAAGCATGGCCACACTAATTATCAAGACCTTCCGCTAGGACTACTGTCCTCAGTCGATTCACAACACCAGCTCACTTAACCTTACTTCAAGTGGTTTATGTGGCCTTTGTGGCTTGTGTGCACATCATGAGTATCACATGTTTAGTGCCCATCTCCACCTCTACCATGACAGTCCTTTGCTTTGCTTGCTTGAGGTAAGAGGTCAACCCTGCAAGCCAGCTCTTGTACACTCAAGTGAATGGTGTGGTTAATGTCACAGAAGGCCAGTCACCCTGACTTCCCAAGACATATTATGTACCAGTTTTACACTAGGCTGCTGCTATATCTGCGCTTTTCGGCTAAACATATCCAATTTCAGCAAGCTCCTAATCTGACAACTTTTGCAACAGGCTTGCTGGATGGCAAGAAATTAATCCAGTGAATATGGCTAAAAAGGTTAATGAAACTGGGAAGCAGAATAACATGCACAAAACATACTTATCTATGTATCTCTACATTAACTAACTACACCCCAATTTTCACCACTTGTTAGACAGCAATGTCTTCTTTCTTTGAAGTAAATATGCCTGAGGCAAGGTACAACATACTGGACACAAATAAGCCAGCAGAACGAATGTGCATGTAAAACTCAGGTCGTGTCAGAAAACCAAAGCCCGCATGGGAAAAGAAGCAGGACTTTCAGCTGGAGTTCACAGCTGGTAAACATAAACAAACAGATGCAGTGGGTCTATTATCCCCCACCCCCTCCCCAAAAAAGGATCCTGGAACCCACACAGGGATGGTTGGTACTCAAACCTAACATACTGAGACAAGCAGACATAAACATCAAGCCAATGCACTGAAGAATCTCTCCATCTCTATGTATGCATGCTCAGTCTTCCTTATGTGTTGGTGAAGAATGCATGTCTCAACTGTTCCCTCAGGAAAATGATATTAAATCTATCTAGATAAGTTTCTGTTTTTTATTTCTTCTATCTTTTCTTTAAGTGTCATGTTTCATTCTATACATTTTTTCTAATATTAAAAACGATGGCTTCTTGTTTTGTCAATCACATAAATGTTCAAAAAGTTTTTAAATTATTGTATTGTTTCCTCCTTATCCACTAGCCAATTACTTTTGAAACTGCCGGGTTTGCTCATTTGATAACAAGAAACTCACCATACATGTATAACTCTTTACTAGAAACTCCTTTTCTTAACTCCCCATGCCATATTAGTACATTAATACTGAATGTTACTTTATGCTCTCTGGCCGATATGGATATTAACTCATCTAGATTAAGTATATATTCGTTCTGAGTTTCAACAACTTTAGATGAAATAAGTTACAACTGGGAGAGTTAAAAAGAAGTCCTCACTTTTTCGGTAGGTAAAAATGTGACAAACTTTTACACAGCTGTGAGCTTTTTGTCTTTGCGTGCATTAATCACGCATTAATCATGACAGGGGACAAGGTGACCAGCTACGTCATCAAATTCTGAAAAGTACCTGGCATTCATTTAACAAGGTTGTTATTGTTCTCAAAACTGTAGCAGTCCACTCTGGCTTTGACTGAGATTTAACATCAGGTAACTTTTTGCAAGTGAGAATACTAACAACTTTACTACCATAGCTCACAACACCTCAGTCTGTTTACTTTTCTCTTCTTTTCTCATTTACATGCATGGACTCACGTAAATAAAGTTGACTGACATATTTCTGTGAATTTGATTTTTGTTTTCCATATTACCATTTATACTTTTATGAAATCTGTGTATCGAATATTTTCTTTGTTAAAAAAAAAAATTTCCTTAATGATCACTCAACAGTGACATACCAAATTGTTGTAACAAATTTTAACATTCTTGTAATTACATGTATTTCCACTTGGAGAGAATGCCTTGTGATGCTATACCATTCAAGGCATACACCAGAAGAGGAGAAGGGCGTAGAGCAAGAGGCAGACCAATAACTATATGGAACGATAACATCAGAGAAACTCCTCAGTGCCACAATGTGTCTTTGGTCGTAGCAGCCAGAAAAGCACAAAAGCAGGATCTTATATCTCCCTTGACACCCGAAGCGGTAAAAGTGAAAGTAAAGAAGAAGACATGTATTTCCTATTAATATTTAAAATACTGTTGCAGGAATATGAAATTTGAAAGATGAGATAATGTAACTAAACGAGAAAAAAAGGGGCAATAAAAACTGTTCAGCTACTTATCAATATTACATAATACATAAAGATACAGCACAGAAACTGACCACACCAAAAAATCAGCACATGATTGTAAATGGTTTAATTCTCAGTTATAGTTTCCACAAACATTACCAGCTCTCAGCTGATCACAGAGACATTCAATGAATTCCACTCATCAGCAGTAGCAATGTAAATAGTGACGTAGCAATACATACATCCTATTCTCACCATTAACATAATCTCAGTTATCAACAACTCGTACTCTATTCATATCATTCATGACAAAATATTCAGCATTAAACACCAGACATTTTATATACTTGCCCACTGGACAAATATTTATTTTTTTGACTTTACCTGATGTTAAAAAAGTTTTTTTGTTTAAATTCTTTTTTAATTTTCCAAAGTACAGATACTTAAATCTCCTTAACTCCCAGTCCTGCTTTTGAGGAACAAATATGCTGAATTTAAAGATACCCAACACACAAGCCTAAAATTATATAAATGGTTAAAAACTTGCTAAAATTCTACGTCCCATTAACCAGCACTGATTTCTCTCTTAGTGGTATGATAACCCAGCCATTTTTGGCATCTTTTAGGTTCCACCAACGTCCCAGCCGATGCTCCTGGCCAACTGCTGCAACCAAGAATTCTCCATTGCTAGAAAATTTCAGACCATTCACGAATCCTTTCTGTAAATCAAGAAATAAGTAATTTTTCAATGCTGACATCGGAAACAAATAAATAAATAAATAAATGGGGAACCCCTGAGGCCCTAGAAACAGTGTCATAAACAAATAAATATGTACTCAGCATTAGCAGAAATTAAGTAGAAATAGAAAGAATAGGAGAACATGTCAGGCAAGTGTGAAAGGACACACCAGAAAGTGTATGAGCAGAAACCAGACAAGTGCAGGAGCTAACGCCACAAAGAGAACAGTGGCATTATTCGGTTTAGCTACTCATGTCAAGCTGTGAATGAAGTCCTTGAGTCTTCTTTAACATGTTAAGGGATAGTGCTTCTTCTGGGTTCACCATGAAAAGGGTGGTTGGCACATTATGATTTACAGCTAGGCTGAGATATCTGTGCCTTTCAACCTAACAAATCCACCAATCTTATCAAATTCCATTCTTGGCCTTTACAACAGGCTTGTTTAGGGACAGTTGGTCTATTGTTCCCCAACCCCCTCCCCTAAGTGGGGTCCTGCTACCCCAGAAAAGGGCAGTGGGTTTTTTCTTTTGTCTGCCAAGACTGGGGCCTTTACAACATGCTTGTTTAGGGACAGTTGGTCTAACGTTCCCCCCCCCCCCCAAGTGGGGTCCTGGAACCCCAGAAAGAGGCAGAGGGTCTTTTCTTTGTCTGCCAAGACTGGGACCACAGAACCCATGCCCTGGAACCCCAGAGAGAGGCAGTGGGTCTATTCTTTTGTCTGCCAAGACTGGGGCCACAGAACCCATGCCCTGGAACCCCAGAGAGAGGCAGTGGGTCTATTCTTTTGTCCCCCAAGACTGGGGCCACAGAACCCGCACTAGGAATTTACTTGTTCATCCTTAGATTCACCCACATGTTAGAAGGCCAAAAGGGTTGCAAAAAAACAGTAACAGTGTAACCTATCATACAGGTGATAAGATGCAACTGTGAAAGGTTAGTATGGAACTGGCTACCAACTATCACAGAAAACTATAGTACAAAACTCTGCCGAACTTGAGCAAGTCTAGAGAAAAGGAAATGAAAACAAATTCAATTTAAAAACCATACACCTTCAAAATTCCTGGTTGTCATTTCTGAAGACCATGGATTCTTTTCTTTTGATTAACAGTCGCAAGGTCGTAAAGTAAAGCCAGCATTCGATGCTATGCTCAGATTGTTAAAGAGAAACCGAAATGCAGGAAATATGGTAAGCATCATAGCAGCTGCTTTCGCTTCCCAAGATTTTACCTGCTGCCCATTTTAGGATGGGTGAACCTGGAAACCAGTCATTTTTTGGGGTTCTAGTCATGTTAAGAGTGACCTCCCTTCCCAGTGAACCATCGATTTGGTGTAGGACCTGTAGTAGGTCGCACAACTGTATGCAGCATTTAATAGAGGCTGCATACAGTCGTGAGACATGGGCTGAGTCTGTGGAGTAGGGGGGTTGGGGTTAGGCCCAGTTGTACACATTTTGGGACTGTTAAAATCAGTCACAGCATAGACGATGTGATATCGCTGGCCGCTGATACCAAGGAGTAAAATACGACTCACTACACCTGAAACCCCTCTGACATAGTACAGGCGCTACACCTGATTGAGGCGTTAATGGGAGGGAAGGACACTCTCACTGTTAGGTCTCTTAACGCGACACATACCTGTTTTTTTATTTTATTTCTGACTCGGCTCGGTGGTGAGGTGAACCTAAGGTCTTTGAGATTCCAGGTTGACCCAGCCTAAAATGAGCGATAACGGAGTTGTTCTGGGAAGTCACAGTGGTTCCACATAAAATGCAAGCAAAGCCCATCACCCAGTGAGTGTCGACTGGTCTTAAAATATGCAGCTAGCACCATATTCCCATGGGAGCCATCGTTATGTAGCAGCTAGCCACTTAACTGCGGGTCGGAATGTCACGGGTTGGGTCCTGGCCAAGCCGACCTTTTTTTGCTGATCACATCACCCACCATGTGCTGAGTGGTCTATAAAATATAGGTCTAGCCCTATATGCCTAAAGGTGTGGAAAGGGTCATCTACTTTACTTTACCAATTAGACTTTACTAAACAGAATAATGTAATGACGCATCTGGATTATCATCCAAGACCAGTGTTTTAGTTGAACACAAACAATAAAGAAGGTTTACTCACCACCGGAACACTGAAGAGAGGAGACAGTGATCTGAAATCTGCACCACATTTCCAAACTCGTACATTGCCATCCTTGGATCCTAGACAGTGAAATTATTCAAAATGAGAAGTACATAACATCTTCTTCTTCTTATGATCACATGCTTGATTTACACCGAGAGATGTGCTCTTATGATAAAACTGATTTTTTTTTTTTAAAGTTCCTTTCTAGTTTCCTGCAGCTTTGAGTATTCTGAGTGTTCACAGGCTGTAAACTCTGGATGAAAGTTCTGGTTGTTCATCCACTTCTAGACTTTTCCCAGAACCTGAGTGTTGCGCATGCATCGGTTTTACAGATATGACTCATTTGCATGCAGCTGTTGGTTCCTGGCCTCTCAGGCAGGTGCACCCTGACTTCAAAGGAAGCTCCCAATTAGTAGACTCTTATGACATGCTTTTGGCAGTGGGTCCATTCTTGTTTTCCCTACAAAATATCTGTGTATGAGTGGCCAGCTACCACAGAAATGGTGGATACCTTATGCAGTACTGTTTATGCAGACTGCTGGTTTCAAAGTGACTGCTGCTACTTCTGACAACAAATAACACTTTTTGTGGCGTACAGTAGGTGTTGCACTGTGCCAGAAATCCTAAGTATTTAATATGTGTGTATGTTGCTAGTCTTGTCAGGACTTTTGCCTTTTTTATTTCTCACATAGAGGAGTGAGCTAGCAGGAACGGAATATATATGAGATAACCCACTGCCCTGATGTTGGAATAGCAAATAACTAATGACACAGAATTATAAGTATTCTTAAAAATGCTTCACAAATACTAGTTGTGACGACATGAAACAAAGAAGACACCCGATACAAAGACTTTATAGCAAACAAAGCCTGTGAATAAATAGATCACCTTAACTTAACCCTGTCGCCCTGGTGACCTAGAAAAAAAAATTGCCAATGACCTGTAATTAGAAAATTGCACACCAAAAAAAAAAAAAGATTACGACCCCCCCCCCCAATAAAAATCCCATTTACTGACCAAAACAATACCAAATTCCATATAGAATATCGGGAGTCATCATAAACATAAATGAAGCATTGAATTAACTGGGTCAAATCTGTGTCAGTCTTAAAAGAAATGTTTATGGTGACCATATGTGACCTGGTCATAGGTTAACGCCATGACCAATAGGAAAATTGTGACATCATAAATTATATTAATAAAGCCTGTTTTTCAAAGAAAACCCCTCTAAATGCTACTTAAGTAAATTTCATTCCTGGCACTTCTAAATATGTTCACAAATGCAAAAGATAACAATGCTATAAGCTAGGTGTCTCATGAACAGGCCACTATAGCTGAGTCAGAATTGACCCCCCCCCCCCCCCCCCTAGATCCAACCAGAATTGTCAGTTTTGCAGCTTCTCGGCGCAAAAAGGTTAGGGTAGCAGAACAACGGAATAAACCAGCATAAAGCTGAAGAAGTCTGCGTGTACACATGTTTACTAAAAGGCACATCTATCCAATGTCTGCGCCATCTCCCTACCTGAAGCCACAAGATCTGTGTACTGTAAAGCTGTTACCGCTGTGATCCAGTTCTGGCCACCACTGTTGTTTATTGAGCCATGAGCATTCTTCACCGTCACCAGCGGTTTCTTCTTCAGGACACTCCACAGACAGATGGAACTACAATGAAAAGTATCCAAATAAACTAAATAAAAACGTGAAAATGACTATTCTTCTTCTTCAAAATTTGTCTCAGTTTCCTGTGTGAGTCAAGGGTCCCATGGAGGGGGAGGAGAGACTCAATGCCTACCTAACAATAATGTTGTAAGAGTCAACTAGGCATTTCCTTCAAAGTCAGAGTGTGTCTGTCTGAGAGGCAAAGAACCAACAGTCTGCATACAAATAAGCCTGTGCATGCACACAAAAAAACTCAAGTTCTGGAACAAAACTTAAAACCAGAAGTGAACTTTCCGCCAGTTTATGGCCGGTGAACGTGAAGGTGAAGATTTGCCTGAGTGATGGTGCATTCTGTCAGTCTACAGCATAGCTGCGATATTTGTCCCTTTTGGCCAATACATCCGCATTCTAGCATCTGTTTCCCAGGTGAGCCTTCCTGGTTATTTATAGCCTCATATGTGTGGTAACTTCGCCATCCCGTGATCCACAGGCCAGCCGCGTGCAGCGTGGGCAACCCTTGTCCGTAGTGCAGGGTGAGGACGTGTGTGGCAGGAGCCTTGTATGAGGATCTGTACAACCAGCACAGGGCCTGCTGGTGCCTCAGGTGAGGTACAGAGTATCTCCTCCTACACATCACAATGGCCTTAACTTTGCGCCACGCCTAAAACTGAAATCACTGCAAAACACAAATAATGACTATTCACACTAGGTGAGTGCTAGCTACTTCTGTACCTGTTTTTCTTAACCTTTCGTACTTAGCTCTGTACGCAGAAAGCAATGACAAACTACTCAAATTCTGCAAAGCACCTAATGATACCCCGTGTAGGCCACAATGGTATGAAATAGCCAATCTGTTAGTTGAACACACAAAAAAGTAGGTCTATATTAAACATGGTTTGAAATAAACTAAAATAAAAAAAGCAATGTAGCCATCAGTCAGAAGAATAAAATGGTACTTACTTGTCTTCAGCTCCGGTGATGAAATTACTCTCATTGATCAGTGACACACACTCTATAGAGCCCCTGTGAAGAAAAGGAATTACTTCCATATGAACACAAACAGTTTCAGCAAGTTTGTGCATTTGTGCCAAGTTTTCAATTTATTGTTTTGAGTAATGAGTTAAGAACCAACATTATAGCATTCTGGGCATAACCACAAGCGCTGTCCCCATCTTCAGCAGCAAGCACAAAGTTTCAATTCTGATGGTACCAGTAACAGGCCAACTGTGTCTGTCTCACCCCTCCCCTGAGTGTTGAGTGCCGGCCAGATCCCTCGCTGCACTATTCTCTTCAGTTCATGGTGATCTATTTGTGTCCCTAAACAAATCAAGGCCGTTGCTATGGAGTGTGCATTCAGTTCTTTTTTACAACCTTTAGCATTTATTACTTAAAAACTGAGGAATAGGCATCACACCTGCCTCATTCTGATATGGATGGAAACTATTGTCATACTATGCTTAGCAATGGATGGAAACTACTGTTAGAAACAAATAGAAACTATTGTTGCACTGTGGTGAAAAATGGCTGGAAACTACTGTCACATTGTGGTAAGAAATGGGTGGAAACTACTGTCACATTGTGGTAAGAAATGGGTGGAAACTAGTATCACACTATGGTTAGAAATGGCTGGAAACTACTGTCACATTGTGGTAAGAAATGGGTAGAAACTAGTGTCACACTATGGTTAGAAATGGGTAGAAACTAGTGTCACATTGTGGTAAGAAATGGCTGGAAACTACTGTCACATTGTGGTAAGAAATGGGTGGAAACTACTGTCACATTGTGGTAAGAAATGGGTAGAAACTAGTATCACACTATGGTTAGAAATGGGTGGAAACTACTGTCACATTGTGGTAAGAGCAAACCATGTAATGATAAGCGAACTGTTAACAACACCAAGCAGTGAGACAGAGTTAGTTGAAAGAGATCATTATAATGAAAACATACACGCCGATCCTGAAGAAGTACATCCCCAACTGAACGAAATACTTTTCGCAGACGACCAAAGCATAATACATGAAAACGAAAAAGAACTTCAAATCCACGTAAATGCGCTACACACAGTCTGCAACGAATATAACATGAAGATCAGCATCACCAAAACAGAAATTCTGAAAATAAGTAGAACACCTAATATACTAACTATTCAAGTTAACAACGAACAACTCAAACAAGTGCAGCAATTTAAATACTTGGGGAGCATCTTCACAGATGATGGAAGAATTGATAGGGAACTTGAGGCAAGATGTCAAAAGGCGAACGCAGTAACTTACCAACTCTCCCCACTGCTAAAACACCCAAGCATCACTATGGCACTAAAACGACAACTGATAAATTGCATGTTTATACCAACCCTCTGCTACCAATGCCAAACCTGGTCCCTAACAAGAGCACAGGAGAAAAAGATCACGACGTGCGAAATGAGATGCTTACGTAAGGCTGCCGATGTCACAAGGAGAGACAGAGTTCGAAACGAGAACATTAGAGCAATTGTAGGAACCACACCATGCCTGCAATACATAAAGAAGCAACAAATAGAGTGGTTTGGCCACTTGATGCGAATGCAAACTGACCAACTGCCTCTACAAGCAAACAACGAACAGCACTACTGCCCTAGAGCAAGAGGCAGACCGAGAGTAAGATGGATAGACAATATATCAGAGATCCTGAGGCAACATGGACTAACAACAACACGTGCAACACACCTGGCCCAGGATAGAAAACTGCGACTCCCCACTACGCTGTGAGGCAATTGTGGACAAGGCAAGACAACTGTCATATTGTGGTAAGAAATGGCTGGAAACTACTGACACACTGTGGTAAGAAATGGCTGGAAACTACTGTCACACTGTGGTAAGAAATGGGTGAAAACTAGTATTACACTATGGTTAGAAATGGCTTGAAACTACTGTGACATTGTGGTAAGAAATGGCTGGAAACTACTGTCACATTGTGGTAAGAAATGGGTAGAAACTAGTGTCACCCTATGGTTAGAAATGGGTGGAAACTACTGTCTCCCTATGGTTAGAAATAGTTAAAACTACTCTGTCACACTATGGTTAGAGATACACCCATGCAATCAACTTATTGAAGTACTGTCATAATGTCTTTCTGATTTCTTACATCATCATTATCATGTTGTGTTAATTATAGATTGCAGTGGTCAGCTGCTGATTTCTATTTTTGGCGCTATTTATTGCAATCCTTGAAATGTTATGCATGGAATCCAGCCCAGCACTCTTGGTCTCTTTTGTCAATGTTTATCATAGGGTTTCTCTTGGATGTTCTCACTTCCTCCACCAACGCGTTTTCCATTTCAGGGTCAGTTTTGTCATTCTGAGTTTTTGTGTCGGAATGTTCCAAATTTATCACAATTTGTTACGCAGTGTGTGCATTATGCAGAAGTCTTTCCCTAGCCATCTCCACAATTTGTCCATTCTGATGATCTGAGTGAACAAAGACAATTTAGCCCAAGCAATACAAAAGTGGATGTCCTGTCCACACTCACCACTGACTCAAACACAAAAAACAGTGACAATCAAGGAAACACTTACGTATGACCATGAAAGAGGAGCTGTGAGTCCTCAGTGATCTTCCAGATGTGAACTGACTTGTCAGAACCACCTGAAGTGATTGCCCTGTCTCTTGTCAAACTGTCAATTCCTGTGATGGGGGAGTTGTGTCCAAATCTGTTAGCAAGCACAAAAAAATACATGACTTAATAAATATTCTTTTCAAAATCGAAAATCTTTTGCTCTGAAAGTCATATGTCATGTCAGTCAATGGCAGACTGAAAACTGCACGCCTTATGTCCTGGTCTTTACATGCCATTAAGCGTTGTAGAGAAAGTTACCTTCTGAATGAATTAGTGATAAAAACAAGAACCTGCCCTTTGTGACTTTTGTGTGTGTGGTCAAGTGGACCATAAGAAGCAAGAATTTAAATGTTTTGTGAAGTGTTCAACTTAAGACACTATAAAAACAAATGATTTACGGAAGATCCAGTATTGTTAACTAAAGGTAATTTGCTGAAGTACCTGTCAGATCCAACCATGTGTTACATAGCAGGAGACACCTGACATATTTACAGGCAAAGAGGAACATGCTGAGCTATAACAGAGAAGAGGGTACCATAGTCAATAAATGCTTACTACTCACAAAGTCTCCACATATGCCCGGTCATCAACGCTCCATACTTTCACCACTCGGTCTTTAGAACAACTAAACAGTGTGTGGGTGCCCTTACGAAACGCAACACCCTGAAATAAAACAAGGTGAATCATTAAAAAATAAGTCAAATATCTATTAAAAAAGAATTGTGCCTGGACGTGAACATAAAATCATAGAGAATCTTTTCAAATATAGAAGAATGTATACTTAATATACTGTATGTTCCACAATCATTGTAAGAGTGATATTAGATGGGGAAATTCCATAGTTTTATCACCTAAAACTGTAAGTTTGACAGTACCAACATCTTAAAAGTAGCTGATTTTTTTTAAGGATAAAGTGGCAAGTCGCAAGATTATAATTATAAAATGGCCAACCTCTCAGCTTAGTCATATCCTGTCTTGTTACTGTAAGTTGAATATAACCTGTCTAGACAATGTGCCTTGAACACATCATGTCAGGTCAATGTGTCTGCAACATATCCTGCCTGGACAATGTGCCTCAATTCTATCCAAATCTACATAATACATTCAAACTTTAATTCTTTCAGCCCAAAGATTATCAGGATATGTTCTTATATATAGTCCTAATTAGCAAATGGAATGTAAATTATTTAGCTCCATTTATTTTTGTATTTACCACCGAAGTGTAAAAGCATGAATCTGCAGCTTTGAAAAGTCTTTCAGGTTCTATATGTTCAATAACACACATGTTGGCATTAGGTTTCTACGTAAATGTGATTGAAGTCATAAAATATAGTATGTTTATGAGCTTTGCCAGGTTACTAAGTGTTTGTCTGTAAACAATATGGGAAGTGAATAGTCTTCTCTACACAAATCCATGCAATTTATGACCTCAAAACCCTCAAATATAAATTTTTAGAAAGTGTTGATCAGATAGATTTATATAAAGTTAAATGAAGAAGGTAGCAAAAGAGAGTTGACTCAGTCATTAATATAGCCAAGCTTTGATGAGGGAAAGCTCTATCACATAGCTCGTACAAAGCATACAAAGATGACAGACTGCCAGTACAAAGAAAAAGCACTTTCTTCAATCTTAGTTCGAATGCCATTCTTATTTAGGGAAATAGCTGTAAAACTAAAGACAATCTGTTATTTAAAGTTCTCTTTCTCTGGTACGCACGCATGCCTGAAAATACTGTTTTGGAGAGTCATGTTTTTGACAATAAGTAAGGATGCGCAGTAATGTTTCCAAAATTTTTCTGAAACAACACGTTTTATTTATACACTACTAAGTGGTTCCTGTTCATTTATGATACATTCTGGATGTATATTACTGAGAGTTCTTTGGGCACAATGATGGTAAGTGGAAAAATTATTTGATTTTTAGTTCTAAACATGTCTGTTTATTTAGTTAATATTAAACTTCTAACATATTTGTTGTAGAGGTATTCTAACAGTATTCCTTAAGAATTCCTGGTCACTTTGATGTAAATAATATATATGCCACAGAGCAGCTGTATTAGTATTGTCTGTTCTAATGAGCCATAAGCAGGAAATTTCATACAATTACTATCCTCTGATTCTGAAGTTTCTGGTGTGGAGAGAATTGAGAAATCAAGCTTAAACGTCAAGGCTACATTGCAACACTGAAAGAAATTATTACTTACGGTTACAGGACCCCTGTGACCTTTGAACTTGTGTATAAAACTACAATCTTCAGGGTTCCACAGTTTGATCATGGAGTTCATATCTCCTGCAGCCTAGCACACATTATAGAGAAACACATCATTAGCATTTATCAATATATTTTTACAATATAAACAAGACAAGTGAATCTGAAGCAAAGGCAGCAGGTACACACTTTCTTCCACTAAATTTCCCCTGTACCTTATCAGATAAAGGCTAGGTCTCCAAATTCACCATCTTAGAGTTCAAAGTAAAGTATCTTAATCTTAGTTAGTTTTTATTGCCCTCCGGACATGTCCATAGGTGCTCAGATCCTCCCCTCAGTATGAACCCCAACATCTGATGGCTAATAGTTCTATGTTGATTAACAAGTCTTCTGGCGTGTCTCGTGTGCGTCTCGTTTTTTGCTGTGCCGATCTTAATTCCCAAGTCTGCCATTCTGGCGAGTGTTAAGGATTCACTGCCCCCAAAGCCCTCTATCCTTCCCATTTCTCTGAGGGCATTAATAATATCGGCATGATCTAGCGACTACGGTGTTTGGCAATTGGCGGTCTTTTCGGCAATTTCCGTTACCCGGAAACCGTTCGCAACTTGTTTCGGGAAATCTCGGCTGGTTTTCGGATGGGTCCAAATCTCTCATGAAATTTTGCCATTGGTGGGAATTTGGACCAGCTATAAATAGCTGAAAACAGCAGGAGGGAACCCCATTAACAGCGCATGTCTACGACAGCCGGACGTCCTCTGTTTTTCTGTTAGTCATCAGTTTATTTTAAAAATAGCGGTAAATTCGAGGTTGGCTTTAGGCTTTAACTGTTACTCGTCCTGGTAATGCTAGTTATAATTAAATTTTACATTTGTGTATAAAATTTCTTTCTGAACGGTGGCTAGGTAGATGTACAGTGACATTTTTCAGGCAATCGCTGGCTCAGCCAGTGGCTGTGTCTCATTGCCTGCCATCTTGTCCAATGACAGTCCAATGTAAACAAAGCCGATACAGAACTGCGCAGTAGGTTGCGCAGAGAAAAACTTCTTGTTTCTGGGTCACAAGTTTTAGCGGCTGTTTCTTACATCTCATCTTCACAAAAACCTACATATCTCAGCTCAGAAATGACATACAGGCCTAAATGAGGTACCATTGGAAAGAAATTGTTTACAGCTATCTCACTGTGCTGGTTTTATTGGTGTAGAGGGCATTTTAAACATTTTACTGAAGTAGCTGCATGATCCATATGCTGACCGTCGGTAGTGACAGCGGATCCAGCCAACCTGTCAGCTCTTACATTTCCATTGATGCCTGCTTGTCCCGGAACAACAAAAAAAGGTGCTCCATGCACAGTGAACTTCTGTAATGAATCTTAATCTTAGACACTAACAGTTTTTGCAAACATTCCAGGATCTTTACTGGGATTCAAGCAGAGTATTTTCTGACAAGAACACTATAACCTCTCAGCTCTGCCTCCCTCCTATAATATACATTTATATTTACGTGGTTAAATGGTTTAAAATTTATTTTTAAAAACAATGTACAAAATAAAAAATAGTAATAAGACATTAAGGTGTTTTTACAACAAACGGATGGAATTATTGGGCAGGTGGGGGTAAGAAAAGCTTATAGTCAATAAACTATACGATGAGCTGTGACAGAATTAGTTTAACATATGCTATATTGATTTTAAAAAGTAAACAGAATAATGCATAACACCCTAAACCTTGACATACATCCATAATTTACTCTCCAGAGTTACACCATGAAAAGATAACCAATCAAACAAAAAAGTAGAACTAGTCAGCTGCTCAAACATAAAGTGAGCGTTGCGGCTATAAAGCCTTCCTCAGCACACAACATTAATAGACAATTTACATTTACAAAGAAGAACACATGCAATGACTGAACTGAGGTCTCTCTGAGAAAAACCCAAGTGTCTGCCTGCCCCTCGGGAAACTACAGAGTTCTTTACAGCTAAATCGTTCAACCATTTGTCTTATACTTTGAAATCTGTCAATTTGTTTCACAGACTGCAACACTCAATTAATGCGTTCAATTTTCACGAAAATTAACATAAATTTCCGCTATAGAGTTTTGGCTTTCGAGTTTTGTGTGGTGCTCCTGGCAAGTAGCTAGCCACTGCGGAGAGACTGAGCCATATCTGCTAAACTTTGGTGCAATGAAGTAAATCCGCTTGACTTTAAAACATAAAAATAAACCAAGTCAGTTCAGAATAGGATCTCCCTGTGTGGACTCTGATGCCGGATTTGGGGGAACCCAATGCCCCCCTAACAAGCATACCACAAAAGTTGACTCAGTAAGGGTGTTACCTTTCAATTTAGAGTATATTTGCCTGAGAGGCAAGGAACTGACCGTCTGCATGCAAATAAGCTAGATGCAGAATACAAATTCCTGAACATGCTCAAAATCTACAAGTTGATGAACAACCAGTACGTTGTGTCAAGGTTACAGCTGGTAAGTAAAGAAGACCATCTCAGATGATCACCAGATTTACGGATGTTCCTGTACAAAATGCCTTAGTTTTCTTAACAGGAAACTTAACACTAGGAATTAGCATGTAAGCATGAGAGTAGTTATATACAGTCTTACAAAAAGACTCAAAGACAACATATTACAAACATCACAAAGAGACAGGCATCATATTTTTTGCTAATATTATGAGAAGAAGGAAAGTGGGAAATTTTTTGACGACTGGGAATATCTGGAAGGGGGGGGGGAGACAAAGGCAGACAATTCTCAACAGTTTTATCATGGCATAGAGGAGTCTCAGCAGACAAACTGGTACATGCTGTTGAAGATTGCAGACTGTGGGGAGACATGATCGCCTATGTCAGTGGCAAGGTACTTGAGGATATAAAGTGTGCTCTTACTTTGTAACATAATAGTACAGCGACATGAATATGTAAATGCTCTTGTGAAATGAACTCACCAGAAACTTTCCATCAGATGATATGGCCAAGCACAAAATATGGTCAGTGTGTCCAATGTGAACATCTTCAGTCCCTTTCCGACCACCTTTGATTGTTTTCACCTTTAAGCCTGTTTCTACATTCCCTGTATGATAACAAACATGTTTCAAATTTTAAAAAAAATATATATATATTTTAGATTATTGTTCTCTACACCTAAAAAAAAATACATATCTGTTACATAATATATATAAGACTCAACTACGGTGGGGTGGTACCTTCTAGATGAACTATCTATTCTTCCTAAAGTCCAAGCCATGTGGCGTTGGTGGTCATAAATATCCACAGCCTTCTGTCTCATATAATTTCAATCAGTTCTGACACATGATCTTCCATAACACGATGCCAAACAGTCCAGCATCTTCTCTCTTGGTCTCCCTCTGCCTCTTTTTCCCTCCAACTTCTCCGCCGTCACCATGTGCTCCCTCTTTCTCATGACATGATCAAAGAATTTAGATGTCTCCTTTTAATGTGGGCAGTTTACTTTGTGAATCACTTCCTCTAAAGACATTTTATCAGTCCAGGGTTTTATTATTCATCTATAAAACCACATCTCTAGCTTTTCTTTATTAATACATGAAATTCATGCAAGTATATTATAACTAGTGGTAATTTTTTTTTTAAAAGCTAAGGAAGTTTTTTTTATTATCAGAAGAGCTAAATTAGCATGACAGAATGACTAATCATGACCACAGAGAGAACTAAACAGATTCCAGCAAGTCAAGAGGTGATGAAATCAGGTTGTATAGGTGATTTACCCATCTCTAATTCATCACAGAGGATATCCTTAGGGATTCAAATTTTCCAGATCCACAGATTGTGTCCTAGCCATCTCAGTAGTCAAACTTCCCAGATCCACAGATTGTGTCCTAGCCATCTCAGTAGTCAAACTTCCCAGATCCACAGATTGTGTCCTAGCCATCTCAGTAGTCAAACTTCCCAGATCCACAGATTGTGTCCTAGCCATCTCAGTAGTCAAACTTCCCAGATCCACAGATTGTGTCCTAGCCATCTCAGTAGTCAAACTTCCCAGATTCACAGATTGTGTCCTAGCCATCTCAGTAGTCAAACTTCCCAGATCCACAGATTGTGTCCTAGCCATCTCAGTAGTCAAACTTCCCAGATCCACAGATTGTGTCCTAGCCATCTCAGTAGTCAAACTTCCCAGATCCACAGATTGTGTCCTAGCCATCTCAGTAGTCAAACTTCCCAGATCCCCAGATTGTGTCCTAGCCATCTCAGTAGTCAAACTTCCCAGATCCACAGATTGTGTCCTAGCCATCTCAGTAGTCAAACTTTCCAGATCCACAGATTGTGTCCTAGCCATCTCAGTAGTCAAACTTCCCAGATCCACAGATTGTGTCCTAGCCATCTCAGTAGTCAAACTTCCCAGATCCACAGATTGTGTCCTAGCCATCTCAGTAGTCAAACTTCCCAGATCCACAGATTGTGTCCTAGCCATCTCAGTAGTCAAACTTCCCAGATCCACAGATTGTGTCCTAGCCATCTCAGTAGTCAAACTTCCCAGATCCACAGATTGTGTCCTAGCCATCTCAGTAGTCAAAGATGGAACACTGGGAACACCCATTTCTTCTTCTTCATTGTGTACACCGGCTGTAAACTCCTGCAAACGTTCTTATTTTTCATCCACTTTGGACTCTGTCTTTTTCCAGAACCTGAATGTTGTGTGCACATCTATTTTAGAGGCCCGACTTATCTGTATACAGACTGTTGCTTCCTTGTGACTCAGGCAGATGCACTCTAATTTCAAAGAAAGCTCTCAATTGGCTGACTCTTGCAACATACAACTGGGTAGGAAGTGGGCCTATTCTTGTCATAATAGGCTCCAGAACCTAGAAGAAAACACCTGCTCTCACCAAACCTCACTGTTTAAGATCCTGCCTTACCCCCTAATGCCAGGCATTGATTGTAAGCAATGTATATGAATGCTATTTAGTTATTTCTATTGGTATGAGTAAGATGACAAAGTTTCACTACCAGAAAAAGAAAGATTGCTAAGGACATTTCATTTACTTACATTTACAAATACTGCAGTCTTTACTTGCAGTAAAAACAAATTTATCGTCTGGAGAAATAACGATGGCAGTCAGTGGCAACTTATGGCCTCGAAAAACTCTTAAATCAGGCTCTTGTGGACAGCTGCACTGTAAACAGAAACATAAATGCACACAATTTTTTCTCTGAGAATTAGGAACACTGCATAAAAAAACATGGCACCGTCACCAAATCTGATATGGCTACAAATTTGTGAATTAATAGGTGCAGACATGCCAGGCTAAAGAAATGAGGAAGTTTTATCATCAAGTGCCTTGCTGACTGGCGTGGAGGATCATGCACCTCCACGAATTGCGATCTCCAACAAAATGTATCAGTTTATGTGTGCCAACACACCTCCATGCCGTGACAAAAGGCTGACCAGAATATTCTCATGCTGCTTTTCTGTCTTCGACAAATCTTTCCAGTTGTCACAAAATGTTTCCCTCTTCTCATACGATGACCAAAAAATTATAATTGTCTCCTGATGTTTGTGATAAGTTTACCATCCAGGGGATCGATTTCACTGCTGCACTGCACCTGATTTTTATCTCGTATGGCTTGATCTCTCTCCATAGACTAGGTTATGACCCAACAAAACATTGCATAAAGCATAAACTCTGAACATCCAACAAAAACCCTAAGAGATTCGGGGGGGGGGGGGGGAACTGCACTGAAGGATTGTGTCCAAAATCAAATCCACAACATACACAGCGTGAGGCAATAAGTTTAATCACTCCACCATAGAGTGTGGAAGTAAATTAAAAATAAAACTTATACATCTCAGGAAATAAATTGCTAAAAACAATTATTTTTATGGAAGCTCCCCCAAACAAACATCAACTGAGTCAAGGAAAAATTAATTTAAATTTTATACATATACATAACAGCAATAATAAGACATTTATACCTTTTTCTAAATACCTGAAAATGAAATGATTCTATCTATTTTACAGACCAATAAACACAAGCGCCTTTAAATTACCGGAGGGAATAACTCCAACAACAAACAAAAAGAAGTTACAGAACAAAATCAAACGTGTAATCACTGCATATCTTATTTGGACATTACTAAAATGTTCCGTACATATAAAAGTTTATTAATGTCACAAACTGAAACATGTACATATCTTCCATGCATTTAAACGTCTATTTCATAGAAACAGCCCAAATATCTTCCATGCATATAAACGTATATAAATGTCTTTCAAAGAAAGTTCTTAATGCCTTACACAGAAACATAGTAATTGTCTTATACACATTAAAAAAACACTATAAATGTCTTAAACACTAAATGTTATACATAGAAAACTATAACTGTCTTATACAGAAAACACAGTAAAGGTCTTATACAGAAAACATTGTTACACAGACAACACATTAAGTGCCTTACACAGAAAAAAAAAGTAAATATCCAACATGGAAAGCATTTTAATGTCTTATATTGAAAATATAAAATTTCTGAAACAAAAAAATTCTAAAAATTATATACCGAAAACACTGTCAACGTCTTACATAAAAAAACAGTAAACGTCTCACACAGAAAACACTGTAAATATCCTACATTTAAAATTTTAAAAAAATTGAAAATACTTCAAACTGACTTACCATATCAGCAACTTGTTTCGTCAATCTGCCAGCTTGCTCAGACTGGGGGAAATATTTTACACTGGGTTACAAAACAGAATATTCATTTCTTTGTCTTCTGCCTTCTTTCCCTAATAAGGCACAGGCCCTCAACCCACTCACGCTAAGTTGTTCTATCCTTCGCTATTGGATGCAGCTCTCCCCATCTTTTAAACCTCATTCTCCAGCTTCCTTCTCCTTGTGTTTTGGTCCTTCCTTTATTTCTATGCATCTGTGGATTCCAATGTAAAGACATTCTAGTTATATTGCTCTCAGATTTTCCCCTCCATGTTTTCCTATCCAACACCAGCATCTTTTCTTCACCTTCTGGTCCACTGGAACTTGTTTAGTTATCTCCATAAGCTCTAAATTAGTGCCTCTACATTAGTATCATACCATTTAATTTTCTCTATTCTGCGCAGGCACCAGTTGATGAATGTTTGCAATTTTTTTTAAAGGAAATGCATCAGTCAGTTGTTCTTCATGTTCCCGCTCCATATAACAACTCATATAAATAAGCTATGAGCCAAACAGCCCTACACAAATATCTTTGTGCTCCCAGAGAAGCTGCACAGTAGCACGTGGCCGCCATCAGTAAATCTGACAACTTAGATTTTAAAAAAACTTTAAAAACCTCCAGCTGACATTCCAAGTTATGACCCACAGTAGATTACGTTCATGATCAAAGATTGCCTTTAACAAAAATAAGTCTTCCAAAAGCTGTCCTATGCAGCATTTGAGGAAGAAACACCAATGTGCTTCCAGTTTCTTTCCATTCTTTTTAATTAATAACCAGTTTTGATGAATCACAGAACTACAGCAGAAAATTTAGAAAAGAATATTTTCAAAGTGAAGATTTCACCCTAAAATGTGCACTACCATATCATGCTAGGTACATATCTAGAGACCTTAAGAGAATAAAGGAATTGTATAATTACATTGGAGACCATGGGAAGAAACGCAGCAATCAAGATCAGCTTTGAATGCCTTGTGTGTCAACAGTCATGAAGAGATAAGATAGAAAGACCATAGATAGGGATGGGGAATACAGTCAAAATCCAGCAGGGCATCTTTACTTTCCAGGATACTTCCCAGGAGCAAAGGGGTACACATTTTAGGTGGGGGGATTGGTCAAGTATATGAATCTTCTGTACTTGGCATTTTGTTTACATAGAATATCACCTATTCTTCTGTATATCCACATTTGATGTGTTGCTTTTTTATACTGTCCAAGTTTCTGCACTAAACAGCATGGCTGAGTTTACCTGACATTTGACGATTCTTAATACCACCACAGTGCCCTGATAGCAAATGGATTACCATAGTCTGGTGAGAGTGATGCAGCGGGAAGGTGAACAAGGGGAACTGGCAGATACTCGACGCTCAGATGAAAGGCAAGACATATTTAACCACAATGCTACTGGCACCAATGGAATCAGAGCTCTGCACTGGCAGCTGATTTGGATAGGGCACTTATAGGGATGCCCCGAGTGCTGTGATGTCCATTCTTGAATCAACTGAACTCTAATCCCTGTTCCATTTTTTCTCTTTCAGCATCATATTTTGAAGAGGCGTCTGGTGCAAGCCTGGGTATGTGCTGCACAGATACTGGTATTTACAACCTCAGATGTTCCATCTATCCACTGCTGGTCACTCAATGCAATTCAGATTCCCATATTATATTATTCATCCCTGCCTCTTGTATGCTTGTTTTGACTGAGTCTTGTCTAGCGTTAAAGTTCTGTTTCACTCCTTTAAACTGTGTTCTTGTATTTGTAAAAAGTAAGGCACTTCATCCTTTTTCAACTGGCCATTGTTACTGAATAACTTATTCAATCCATTTTCTGATTTCTGTGGAATGGACATTTCATTTCAATGAATGCAGAAAGACTTGGATAGTGAAAGGTTTTAGGAAATAGGAACTGGGTGCACTAGGAGAACGCGCCATTAATTAACACTATGCTGAAATATTTCGAAAAGACCTACTATATCATGCTGGAGACGATGTGCGACGGCATCTTTCAAGGTCTCCTCATCAGCTTTCTTATCGGCTTCTGCAAAGCACAAAGTAAAATAATAAATATGTTACATGTACAACACTCAAATGCTACAGGAATGATTGTATCAAGAGTACAGAAAAGACACTGAAGACTGTTGGAAAGATTCTATTAGAAGTAGAGAAGATTGTATACAAGTACAGATAGGCTACTACAAAAATATCAAAACCTCAAAGGGGATTTAAACACATGACCAACAGGCAAGCATGATATGCTAACCACTGCAGCTTCTTTGCAATATAAGTATCACAGATTTAACGAAAAAGGAAAAAAAAAAAACAGTATTTGGCTAACATGATTACACTTGAGTTGTTGGATCTTTATCTTCTTCAGCTTTCAAAGCTCTCATCAAAGATATCATCCATCTCTATTTATCTGTGACCGGCTTTCTCTTCCCAGCTGGTGACTCAAAGTGTTTGTTGGTCTGCCCGGATATTATTGCTGCCATCTTCTTGGAATGCCTTAGTCTTCTCAAAGTCAAATCAGTCGTGTACAGCATGTGTCTCTTCTATCTGCAATTTTCCCTGCATGCCTTAACCCTCGCAGTCTGTTAACCTTTATGATGATAGTAATTAGCGGTGATTTCAACAGACTACTGTTAGATTACTAAAAAATACATATCTAAGACCAATCCCTAAAAATGCCTCTACGGGTTTCTAAATGGGTAGGTTAACACAATGCGATTCCCAGCTCAGTTCTGGGGGATAAAGAACAGACCCACTGTCCTAACAAGCATGTCATACAATGTGACTCAATCAAGGGTGTTTCCTCTGTCAGAGTACATCTGCATGAGTGGCAAGGACCCAACAATCAGTATACATCTGATTGAGAGGCAAGGACCCAACAATCAGAATACATCTGCATGAGAGGCAAGGAACCAACAGTCTGCAATTAAATAAGCCAGATCTGTAAAATGAATGTCAATGCAAAACTCAAGCTCTAGAACAAAATCACAAAAAGTCCAGAATTGGACGATCAACCAGAACTCTCCATCTGAGTTTACAGCCTGTGAGTTTTAGGAAGAAGATTACAATGCCATAAACAGACAACTAAAGATCTAAAATGATCACTATTTGCCAGCTAACCTTCTGCCTCTATTTTAGAAAGATACTCCTTTGCCAAGCGCAGTCTTTTTTCTTGAGCAGTCTCTTCATCTTCCTCATCTGAGCTGTAAAGTTTGTGCCTTGTTTCAGTTAACTCTGAACTGTGGAGAGAAATCAAAGTCTACATGAAAACTGTTAACTGTGTATTTCCCAAATTTGTTATAAGTTTACACATGTTAATGTACCTCAGGTCACCTTAACATAGATTCACACAATAACAAATTATTGACCAAGACTGCTGTTAATGGTGACTGTCCCACGGAAAACCCTGGATGATCGTCCATGTCTGGACTTTGGTCTTGTTCCAGGTCTTGAGTGGTGCATGCCCATCTGCCTAACAGATTAAGCTTAATTTCTGCGACATCAGGAGCCTCTCTTGGCAGTGGTGAAACGTCTTAAGACTTGAGTGGTGCATGGCCATCTGTCTAACAGATTAGGCTTAATTTCTGGGACATCAGGAGCCTCTCGTGGCAGTGGTGAAACGTCTTAAGACTTGAGTGGTGCATGCCCATCTGTCTAACAGATTAGGCTTAATTTCTGGGACATCAGGAGCCTCTCGTGGCAGTGGTGAAACGTCGCAAGCTAGCTTGGTTTGGGAACGTGGTGAGACACAAATTGATTACAAAGACTGTACTTTACTGAACACGGGGTGGGGGTGGGGGGGGGGGGGGGGGGTGATGGGAGGGGGGTGTTGATAGTCGAAGAAGATAAGGGCAAAGAAGAATCTGGAATGACAACACCAAGAAATTGACAGGACTAAGTGTTCATACACTCATTCATCAAGCAGATGACAGAGAAAGATGGCAGGTTTTATGTGCTAGTGCTTCCATCAATACACCTCCATGACCCTAATTGGTCAAGGGTTATGTTATGTTATTAGGCTCACTCACTGTATACAGGCAGACAGGTGCACTAAGACGTCACAGTAGGTGTCGAGCCTATTTACGTTGACCAAACTCCCAGATGAGAACCTTTTTCAAGGATGATAAAGAAGCTGTGCAGATAAGGCTTGGCAAGTCTGCCCTGCATCTGGTTCACCACTGCACTGATAAGAGTGTACTTGTAGTGAGTTCATTTTCTCCACATTAATTTATGCCCGACAGATGACGTCAGTAATAAATGTAAGGGGAATGTTTTGACTGACTGGGATAACACGAGATTTGTGTCTGAGTTTCATGGGAGACATCTGAAAGTCAGGTTTTATGTGAAACATGATTGTTCACGTGAACCATGAAGGTTGACTGGCAGGCTTCGTGTGAAATGCGAATTATCACGGGCCAGACACGATTTTCAGCGGTGGGGAATTCGTGAGAATGAAGTTATACAGAATATTCGAGAAGAACATGACAGAGATCAGAGGGCTATATAATAGCGGAGAAAGGATTGAGAGGCAGTCTCGTTTAGGCCAAGGGAATGTGTACGTGAGAAGATGAAGTCCGGAAGAATGTTGGCGCCTACATAGCGTGATTTCCCAATGCCTACCTGGCATGAAATAACGGCTGACGGAAACGGTGGCCAGCTGTGAATGACTGTCGTCTGGTTGGATGGAATTACTGTGTTTCGCTAAGTTGTGGGATGAATTCTACGATGTTACAAAGGTATGACTTACTGTTTAGATCATTGAATAAGTATTCGATGAGTGATACTGTTGTGTATGAACATTTACTGACTGCAACATCAGCGAGTGAAAATAAACGGTACGTGTAACTTCTGAACGTCTGCCAGCGTCCATGTTTTCTCGTTCTTGTCAGTCGGTGAATGGAAGGATGCGGTGACTCATTCGAGCCAGCAATTAATAATAAAGAAGATCATCGCAGTACTCCCCATCCCCAACCAAGAATTAGATGGAATGACAGTTAAAAATGAGATCCTAATTAGCTAAGTGCCAAAATGCAAGAAATTGAACATCTGCCATTTTCTTACTTGTGTAACTTATCAAGGAAAAGATGCAGTCTCATAATATTTATCAAAAAGTATATTTTTCTCTTTTGAAAGCAATCTTTCTTTATACCTAGATACGTAACTTTTTAATTTAGATATCAGTATGCCAAACTCATCATAGCACTTGAAACATTCCCATATGGACTTGGTACCCATCTTCAGTAGCAAGCATAAAGTTCCAGTTCTGATGATATCAGTAACAGTCTAATTGTACGTCTTACTCCTCCCCTGAGTTAAGCTTCGGTCAGATCCCTTGGTCACTCAGCACCATTATCTTCAGACCCTGATGGTCTACTTGTGACTCTGCACTGTTTACTTGTTCCCAAAGGACCCTTACAACATCTAGTTTGTCATGCATCAGTTTCCCACTAAGTGGTACAGAACCTGCCAATCTTACCTACTGTTCATTTTTCAACAAACCGGCATACCTTGAAAAAAAAAAACATCCAAAGTCCGCTAACTACCCAGAACCTCGAAAGTGATGCTTTCCACTCTGCAAATAGCATACTTGTCTCTACCTTTCTCAACATACTGTGTGAATTAGTTAAACTCATGATACGTGTGACAATTTTTCTACATTTTTCCCCCACACCAATGACATATATTGCCAAAGGTAACATTCTAATGATGAGAAGATTTCTTCTCCTTAGTAATACGGCTAAGATAAAACCTTAACATCAGTGAAATAAATGTTCACACAAAAAACTGCTCAAGAAATCAGGACCCAGGTATTCCAAAAAGGATTAAAAGACAAACTACAAAAACAGTCTTTATTACTACCTTAGGTTATCATTGTAAGACTTGGACTTTAACTAAAGAACACAAAAGAGAAAGCTAACCATCAGTGAGATATGTTTGAGAAGGACTGACCAAAACCAGAAAAGATCATGTGAGAAATTAAATAAGAAGTAGATGGGTTAGTTGTGTATCCTTTACAGGACTTTGCAGAACCAACCCCAACAGCCCCTGGCTGTTGTGTGGTTTTTTCTAGGCAAATTTACATCCAGTAGTATGCCATTGCTTTCTGGACGGTCGGTTTTCTTGATACCACTGCCGAAACCAACGCAAGGCGCATGGCCCGCAGCTGGGATTGAAACCGGCATTACGAAGCGTTCGCTTGGATTTTTTTTAAAACCTATTCTAATGGAAGTGCAGAAAGTTAATAAGCTGTTCGAATCTAAACGTGCTGATAAAGTTTAATTACTTGACGATCTCACTCTGCTATTTCACTTAGTTGGTAAAAGACTGGTGTTGCCAACTTCTAAAGCTGATTGATTTGCTCACTTGCACTACAGAGAGCTATTTGGCTCCTAAGCCACACCTTGGATATCAAATCGAATCAAAAACTGATAATTAAAAAACAAAAGGACTGTTTACAGAGAATAAAGAGAACAAGTTACGAAAATGCTGTAAAGATTTCATTATCTAATTATTTTTTGCAACTGAAGCAGAGACTTCCTGAAAATCTAGATGTATTGAAAAATATTTCACTCTTTTCTGTGAGCAACATACCTCAGCCAGGTAAAGGAAATACCTAAATATTGTAAAGTAATGAAATTTTTAGGGGCTACTGATAATAGTGTCGCAGAAGCAGAATATTAGTTAACCAAAATACTTAGTTGAATGGACACACAAAACAGAAACTGAAGCGAGACAATTTAAAGATGCCTCATCAAACAGTCCATTCTGTAAGCTCTTTGAATGTGCCATGTCTGCCATGATACTACCCCACTCAAATGCTGATGTAGAAAGAGTTTTCAGTGCTATGAATTATATCAAATCTGACCTAAGAAATAGGGTCAAATTTGACCTCTTAAATGCTATCTTAACAATAAAAAACGGCCTGACGAGAGTATGAAAACGCTGTTTAACTTACCAGCTCCCTGATTGTGCATTAACAGAAATTGGAACAGCTAAAGCATACCAGAGTCATTTTGAATCTGAAGCTTCAACTTCATCATCCAAGCTAAGTTTATCCTGTGGATCTTGTGAGGCAGACATAAGTGAAGATGTTTACATGATTCTATATGGTAAGTAATATCAATAGCTATGTAATTTGTGACTTTCCATTTTGGATATTTTTTCTAAATTTTTCTCACGCAAATTTAAATGTTTTTAGATAATTTTTTTACTCCATTCTGGATGGGTTTTTTTTTTGTCAAAGAAAAGTGGCAACACTTGTTTCACACAAGGTAAATTCTGAGTCTCACATAAAACAAAAAATTCAAATGATGTCATCTCCCTTTTTATCACAGTAAAAAAATGCACAAAACAGAAAGAAAACATAAGATATATGATAATTCACCTGTCAATGTCTGAGTCACTTTCCACCTCCTCATCAAGTGGTGCACTTGTCTTGCTTTTCTTACTCTTTCCAACATCTTTACCACTTTTTGTTTTGGGTGCCTAAATGACATTTGACAAGGAAATAAAAGTAATTATGTCTGTATGTCTGAAACAAATATAAGACGAACACTGCAACAGCAATTACTATATTTATAGTGTGTCAAATGAAACCTGTCTGTGCTGTTATTTCATGCTACTTTTAAGTACTAAGGTAAACAATATATTTGCCTAACTGCCCATTTATTCAAGGAGGTATTTGTTAAAATTAAAAATAATGTAGCAATCGACGTCATCGCAGCACTTGCTTTGTCTCTGAGCACAATCTTCAACCATCTCACACTTCTTCTTCTTCTTGGTTCACCAGCTGTGAATTCCGGCGGAAGGTCCCGGTTAATCGAGTTTTACCTGGACCTGATTTTTGCGTGTACAACCGTTTTGCTGTTCCCTGCCTTGCCAGATGTACTCCAACTTCGAGGGAACGTCTCACACTAATTTGCCTACTTCCATCCACTGCAGTCACTCAGTTCTTTCTGTGATTAGGGCTTTGTGGGAGAAAGTGTACAGATCACCAGTCTGGTGAAAGTGATGCAAAAGGGAATGGCAAGGGGAACTGGTCAATACTCGACGCTCAGAGGAAAAGCAGGACAAACGTAAAATCAAAATGCTACTAGCACCATTAGTATTGGAACTCTGCGCTGGCTGCTGAAGATGAGGATGGAGCACTTATGCGAATGCCCAGAGAGCTGTGATGTGACAATCAAAGGTGATATGGTATTATTCACTACTAATAACGATTAATTGTTGTAAAAAATTACATTAACGACTAAATAATAATTATGTAAAATCAGTTTATTAAAACTTTAAAATTAAGTCAGTTCCGCTTGCTAGCGTAGTTGGCTAAACCGGATTGCGCTGGGGGTAGGCAGAAAAGTCACATTTCTCCCAAATTTACGGTATTTATCATGGAATCAAGGCCGAAGGGTTGCGATATCCATAATACCGAGCCTAAGGGTTAACAACAACTCATGGCTTCTGGATACTTATACTAAAATTACTATTTTAAAAAGGGCTCTCCTTTGAATCAACCTCCAAAATGGCGTCTTTAATATGATGGCGTTCGAAAGAGAGCTAAATTGGCAAAGTTCTTGCTATAAAATATCCGAATGCGGGTCAGTTCTATTAAAAATATATGTGCCGGCTCCGGATAACGAAACAAATGCTCTAAGAGGGTCTTGGCGATACGTTACTTGCCGACCTGCTTCTGCGAGTGTACCTCACCGCCGAGCGTATCCCTCGTGCCGCTACGCGCGGCGCAGATGGGGACTAAACTAGATGGCTGGGACTCACGAGCGGCAGATACTGCATCTCCTGCAACTTCCTCCAATTACTGTACTCGTGAGTCACAGGCACCCAGTTTAGTCCCCATCCACGCCGCGTGTAGCGACGCGGAGGATACGCTTGGCAGTGAGGCACAATCGCAGAAGCAGGTCAGCAAGTAACGTATCGCCGAGACCCTGTCAGAGCATTTGTATCGTCTGCAGAAGCGCTTACAAATATTGTCTGCTCCTATCGTCTGCAGAAACTGTCGGTATTTATAGTCTGCTACTACTACCGTGTGCAATGTTCATATTCATATTGTCAAGTAATGATTAATCCTAGTTTTGCCGCGATTTGTTCCTTGGCAGAAAGTCCGTATTTTAGATGTACACGAACACCGTCGTTCTGATATTTATAGATATTTTATGGCCAGAATGTGGCATGCCGCCATTTTGGGGGTTGATTCAAAGGAGAGCAAAAAAAAGTCGCTGAGCAAACATGCAATGGACTGATGAATTCTTGACTGACTAATTAATCAATTGATTTGCGAAAACAAAACGCTTTCTGATAGAAGTTTTTGTATTTAATTACCCGGTGTGTTATAGTTAATATTGTAAAGAAGAATCAATGATTAGTAGTTATTAAAAGTTTCTTAAGTTCTTAACAATTGACGAGCAGATGTTGGCATGGTGAGAGTGACTCTCAGAGTCGGATTTTGTTTACCCCCTACCTTAAAACCTTGTTTCCTTTTGCGGGATTTCAAGAAAAATGACATGGTTTAGGTCTAGAGGCACAATTATTTCGCTAAGCCCACTTCTAATATTAATGTACAAATATAATCCAATTGAGCGACTTCAGTACGGTCATCATAACACAATCTGCGAATACATGTGAGAATCCTCCATTGCTCGCCAGATTTCATGACGTTTGTTCATAAACTTAATATTACTCGACCTATAATTGTATTAGCACAAATATGATAAATATCTTTAGTTTACAAAATAAAATACTTCTTCACAAGTGACGTATTATATAAATCGACTAAAAAGAGCTATCTGCTTTGATAAGTGTATTTTAAATTTACAAATACTTAGTGTACAATCAGGCAAAAAGATTGGTTTCTCTACTGTCAATAAATGAATCGTGATTTTCTTCTTTTTCTTTCGTTTTTCTTTTATTTCATACAGATTTTGGGTAAACAAATGTATGTGGAAATATCACATGTGGATGCCCCATCTTCTTCCAGGGTGCGTCTCTGATACCACTCCCTGCTGAAGGCCACTAATTCCAATTCCAATTCACCCAACAAATATTCCAAATTTGATACTTTTTCAGCCGCCCGGAAGCCTGCTATATGAAGGAAGGTTCCTTGGTTTTCTGATTTCCTTTTATTTGTGGTGTGTAGTAGTCACACCCACACCTGATATTCCGGTTCTTAGCTTTCTTGCTGCGGTGTGGTGCTTGTGGTTTTTGGGTCTGGTGTGGTCTAGTTCTCTTAGTGATGATATCTACTGGTATTAGCTGACTGTTGCTGGTGCTTGGTTTGCCTCGTGCTGATCGCTGTGCTGGTGCCCTGTTGCTGCTTGGCTTGGCTTTTTTACCCCACCAGGACATCACACAAGCGATAAACACCCGATGACACAAAGTGCCACCATGCGGATGAGGATCACCGTGGAGAGGTCCCAGAAACCGCGTTCAGACATTTGGCCATAATGATGACCTGCCTATATTGCGGCCCCTGGCAAAAGCCAGAGTGGGGCTTCAAATTAAAAAAAAATAACGTCCTAAGAAGGACGTAAGAAATTATAAATAATAATACTGTTGCTGCTTGGTTGCCGTTCTGTAAAGCCGCCGGGAAAAGCCAAACAAACACCGGGTCACAACTTCTCATACAATGCTCCTTTTCAGGACAACCAGGGCCGTCACAATCTTTTGTTGTGATCGGCCAATTTTTTTTTTTTTTTTTTTTTCTACGGAGTGTGGAGAAGTAGAGGAGTTAAGCTGCAAATGAGAGAGGTAATTTGCTCGAATTGAAGGCCACGAGAGCGGCTTTTCGTTTTATAAACTGTCTCACGCGGAAGTCGAACCTTCGTACGTCGAAGTAGAGAGTTGTCTTGTTTGTTGATCGACTGTAAACTACCGCGTAACGTCCTGTTTTGATTTTCCGTTTTGTCCTTGTGGGCCCCGGGGCCCCATTTCCGATGGATAAAATAATAGATCCACTGCCCCCAAAAAGCACGACGAAGGATGCTACTAATTAGGGGTATTTCCTTAGAAGTCAAAGTGCCTTAGAAGCAAGGAACAGTCTGCTTATAGTTAAGCCAGATGTGGCAAATAATGTGCATACAAAACTTAACTCAGTTTACAGCCAGTGAGAGCTCAGAAGACGAAGAGGGGGGTCGTCTTCTTCTGGACGTTGGCTTCCATCCAACGCTTGACATTCTGGGACATTTTCGCTCTGATGGTCATCTCATTTGATAGCCGCAGTTCCTTCCTGATCTGGTCGACTAGCTTTGTGGTGCGGCTCGTCCTGTTCAGAGTGGTGAGCACGCCATCTCTGGTTTTCTAGAATCTGGCTACCGCTCGCTTACAGCATCAGTGTGGTCAGGGCGCTGATTGTAGCCTGGCCCATGCTGGTCTGCCGTAGAATGGTGACTTCATGTTTGACCAACGCCGTCTCTAACTTCTTGTTGTTCATCTACTTCTTATGCACATTTGCAGTTGTAAGGTCTGTGTTCATTTTTGTGACTTGTCTTCTGCTTCGCGAACACTGGCTGTAAACTCTGGCAGAAAATATCTAGCTATCAAGCGATGCTTGACAGTCTGCACGGATCATACATCTGTCTTGTTTCAGTATGCTCAGTAAGTAAGTTACAGTCACGACATGTGCGTGCAGCTGGTTCTCAAGCTAGCGGAAGGATGCAGTGGCCACCTCCACCTCCATTCTCAAACTAGATGTTGTCGTATCATATGCATGGCTTTGTTGCACTTAGTGACGCCCACTGTCTTTTACTATGAAACCACGTGAACTTCTTCTACCTCTCTAAATACAGAGCTATCTATATATATATATATATAAATATACAGATGTTGTACTTCGGATTTTGCAGCGCCCACTGGTCAGTCTCTACACTTACGGCCTACTGTGAATCGAATCCTACACACATTTGACTGTTGCTAGGACACTTTGGCTTACTTTCTCCTCGACCCATATTATCAAACGTGTCACAATGAGTTTACAATTTGCGCCATCAAAGACCTTCCTTTTTTTTTGGTACGTGACCTTTAGCTTTACCCATGGCTTCAACTTGAAGTGCTTTTTGTCTGCGGCTACTCTATCTATCTCTTTTTACACGACCAGGACATCACACAAAACACCCGATTACACAAAGTGCTACCATGTGGATGAGGATCACCCGTGGAGAGATCATGAAATCGCGTTCAGCCATTAGGCCATATTTATAGCCGGGCTATGTTGCGGCCCCTGGCAAGAGCCAGGGTAGGGCTTCAAAAAACTTTTAAAAAATTCCAATGTTATTTTAAATTTACAGCTGAAAAAAAAAAAAAAAAATGCAGAAAAAGTGAAATGCAGTGAGGACAGGAGAAAGCGAGAAGTAAAGAGCTTATGTCTGAACGAGCCAAATTTTCAGATAAGTATAAATTTTCCGTTGACCCTCACTACACTTGGGCGATTCCCCAATCTCCAGCACCAAGTTAGGATAACTCCACATCAGTTCCATACAGATTTTTATATCCCATCAATCTCTGACAGTGGGTGGAGCCTTGGCATCGTTATTCACAAGATGAAGTAGCAAATGACATCACTTCCTTTCTTGAATACTAGAGTAGGAGAATGAAGCTGACAATCTACATTAAATAAAGAAGTTAGCCCCCTGTATGGGTTCCGGGGCCCTACTATGGGAAAAACAAGAATAGACCCACTGATTACCCAAAAGCAAGTTGTAAGAGTCGACTAATTGGGAGCTTTCTTCGAAGACGGAGTGAATCTGCCTGAGAGGCAAGGAACCAACACTCTACATACAGATCTGTCAAACGGATGCACACGCAACACTCAGGTTCTGGAACAGGACTGCAGTCCAGAAGTGGACGAACGACCAGAACTTTCCGCCGGAGTTTACAGCCAGTACGCCAAGTGGAAAAAAAGAGGGTACATACAGGAAAACTGGCCCTTTGGTGGCAAAAGTTAATGACAAGGTGCAGAAGGAAAACTTGGTGGCTTAAACTGTCTTCAGATTTACATTAGAATGTGGGTACATGTGTACCTTTCAAAAAAACAATATTTTATAGACCAATACGACGTAAAACGTCGTGCACTAACATATGATTAAGCCTCTGGAGTCCGACTGATTTTTAATTTAACTAGGAAAGAGTTTATGTGATGATATTATGTTGCAAATTATTATCTTTTGCAAAATAAATAGAGTGCCAATTACAAAAGCATTAACAAAATCGCATACAATCTACACTTTTGTGCGTAAATGTTAAAACCAGTTTAGAATATATTAAGAATTCAGTAATAATTTCTTAATTTATGTTTTTGTAATACAATTATAAAATTATCTCCCTTACTTTAAGAGCCAATTCTCAATTTCCATGTTGTATTCAAGATTTCACTGATATATAGGTTTTATTCTTCTTTAGATTTAAACATATAATACTGATCAATATGTTCTTGTCAAGTACAGCAAAGTTTTAACATCTGCAGACGTAAAACACTGAACACTGGTTAATAATTTCTGTCCTTGTACATTTGCAATTGTCTCCATTAAGAAACATTGCTTCTAAACAAGTTATCAACAAACAATTTTTTTCCGTAGTCAATTTAAAATCAGACCTAAAAAAAAAAAAATATGCAGGAAAAGTAAAATACAGTGAGGACAGGAGAAAGCAACAAGTGAGGAGCTTATGTCTGAACGAGCCACAAATTTAGATCTTGAATATTAGAGGATTAAAGATTAGAAGAGATTAAAAGAGGAAGGTACAGGAATACTGGCCCCTTGGTGGCAAAAGTAAATAACAAGGCGAAGAAAGAGAACTTTACTGGTAAAAACTGCCTAAGATTTACATTAAAATGTGGGCACAGTGTACCTTTTAAAAAAAATCAATACTTTATAGACCAATACGACGATTTACGTCGTGCACTAGTCAAACAGAAATAGTAGTAGACTTTTACCCCACTAGGACATCACACAAGCGATAAACACCCGATGACACAAACTGCCACCATGCGGATGAGGATCGCCGTTGAGAGGTCCAATAAACCACTTTCAGTCATTAGACATGAATGACGAAAAAGTGCACCTCACAAAGAGATGACAAGATAATGATATTTGTGGCTACTCTGTCTGTCTGTCTTCTTTTACCCCACTAGGACATCACATAAGCGATAAATATCCGATGAAACAAAGTGTCGCCATGCGGATGAGGATCACCTGTGGAGAGGTCCCAGAAACCGCTTTCAGCCATTAGGCCATATTTATGGTCGGGTTATATAGCGACCCCTGGCAAGAGCCAGAGTAGGGCTTCAAATAACGAAAAATTTCATGCCTTAAATGGATGAGATTATTGTGTAAACAGTGGCTACTCTATCTGTCTATTTTCTTTTACCCCACCAGGACATCACACAAGCGATAAACACCCGATGATACAAAGTGTCACCATATGGATGAGGATCACCGTGGAGAGGTCCCAGAAACCGCCTTCAGCTATTAGACTGGCAAGAGTAGGGCTTCAAATAGCGAAAAATTGCATCTC